TCTGTTTCTTTTTTTCACTTTTACTCGAGTATCTGTATATTTATACTATTTACTTATCTGCGTGCTGCGTGCTGCGTGAGTACTTGCTACGTGCAACTTGGACCCGTTGTGGTATCTACGGGTATTATTATAATATTTTTTTATTTTTATTTTTTTTTTCGCATTTTTTTGCGCACTTTTCGATTATAATGCAACCACTGATAAAGTATTACAGAACCACGGGGACCGCTGAGGTCGCCCACGCGCCATTTGTGGCGAACGTGAACTTTGCGCGCCAACTGTATCTAGAAAATAGTATATATGTGTGATATATATTTGTACATAGATATACACACACACACATACATCTTTCCATATCAGTTTCTCACGCTCACAATATGGTTTTTTACAACAGGTAAAATGCCAGCCAAGATTTTGCCGTTTTTGGGCGCCAGAAGGTTTTCTGTTGCCTGCGATTTTTGCGCTTACATGACAAGCGCCCGTTTGGGCCTTTTCATTTGTTGTTGTTTCTGTTGTTGCTGTTGTTGTTGTTTTTGTTGGTGTTGTGGTTGGGTTGAGTTTTTGCACAGCGCATGCGCCACACGTTTTGGGCGAGTGTGTCAAGGCGAATAGATATAAAAACAAGCAAAAGTATGTATGTATTTATGTCCGAATCCAATTGGCGTCTACTGTCAGCTTCTGTAACTGAATGTCAGCCTTTTATGGCCATTTCGCTTTGTAGATTTCATATTTTAAGCGAGGCACAGTTTGATCAGTACAGATCAGATCAACGACAACGTGTCCCCTAATTAATGGGCGCTAATAGAGCTGAAATTAACTTTTGTCATTAACAGTCACGGCTAAGTTGGAGTCGCGTGATTCTCAATTTACATATATATTTTTGCGTGTGTTGCGCCGAGATTTTTAGCAAGCAGATTTACAACAAATTTTCAATTTATCCAAATTTATTATTAAAAACAAATATATATTTTATACTAAATATCTGTAATTCTAACATATAAAAAATTTAAATAAATAAGAATATATACAAATAATCATGGGTTCAATTCAAAAACCGCTTTTTTGAGGCTGCTGAGTTTAGTGAAATTTATTTTGCTAAACAGGTGAAATGCAATTTTTTTGTAAGTCTTAAAATAATAATTCTTATTTTTTATTTACAATACCAATGTTTATTACTTATGAAAACTATTGAGTCTAATATTGTATTGAAGTGTATTCCAATAAATTTATTCAATTTTTGTTTATTTTGTTTTGTTTCTAATCGAAAGCATTTGATTGCATTATTATGAAGTTTAGAATTTCTTGTTTTAATTTAATTTTGCACAGTAGTGGAATTTTCCTCAGCTTCCAATTTTATAGGCAACACTTTTAAAGCTTTGTTGCTTATGCAAAGCATTTTTCAAATTTATATTATTAACAAATTTAAGAACATATTCTTAAGCTGCAAAGTGTTGCACATCATGTTGCACATTATATAAAATTTGTATTCAAGCTGGGGTGATTTAATGTTGTCTTAATTCTCTGCATTCTGGCTCTTAGTGTGAAAAACGCAGGCGCAGCAGCAGCGTCATGACACACACACACACACACACACACACACAGACAGATACAAGCAGGCGTGAATGATTCTCTGATAGCGTCGTGTCGTGACGTCGACTGCGCAAATTGCTTGCCAAAATAAGAGCCAGTTGTGCTGGCATTCGCTCTTTTCTCGCTCTTACTCTCTTCATTGCTTGCGACGCAAATACCGTTCTTTTCATTTATTTATTTTTTTTTGCTATATTTCGCATAACTTTTTCGCTGTGTGCGTGCGCGTGCGTTTTTATTTAATAAGTTTGTTGTAGCTGCTACTGCTACTGCTGCCTCTGCCTCTGCCTCTGCTTGTGCCTGTGCTTGATTATGTGAGCGCGACGCTCAACAACATTATTGCGTGTTCAGTTCTTTTCTAAGCGGCATGCGGTGTAATTCTTCTTCTAATCGCTCTGAATTTTTCGCACTACGTTCGGCTCTCTCTCTCTCTCTCTCTTTCTGTCGCGTTATTGTTATTGTTGTAAGAAAAGTTTAAAGGCGTGCGTGTGTGTATGTGTGTCAATGCGCGTGTGTGAGTGTGCTGAAAGTGAAGTTCTTGTTGTCATTGTTAGCTCATCGATTATATATGTACGTGTGTCACATAAAAAACGCTGCTCGCGAAAGCTCCTTGTAATAATTACCAGCCCCAATTGACGTATGTGAAACCAAGAGCCCAAAGCGATAATATTGTGTATTTTTAGCATTGTCTAATCACGCGTGATTGATAATCATGCTGTCAATCGTGCCCACCATATGTGCATACACACACACAAACACATCTACACTTAGAAATGCATGCTATGTGTGCAAATATGTAATGCGGAATTGTAACGCTTCCATTTGCAATAACAGATACTTTTTGCGATTGAGCATTTGATGTTTGATTCGAAATTGGAGTAAAATACCGTTGCTTAAAGAAATAAATAACTGCATGTGTGCCTATAAAAATAATGTTCAAAATAAGCAAAATAAAAATTAAAATTTATAGATGACCTTTTAGTCCGCTTCGATGTCTATATTTTCACATTTGTGTTTCCTATTGTTTGCATCAACATTTAATGTATTGAAACGGTCAGTTCCGAGCGAATAGCTTACTTTTGAAAACTACAACGAAAACCTATTCGATTTTTAAATAAGATATTTATATGTGAATAAACATCTGGTAGTTAATGAACTTCAAAAGTTGCAATTTATACTACAAATTGAAAGAGATTCAAAAAAAATAAAAATAAATACAAAGAAAAAGCTTTTGTGTAATCTACAGGAGATATTTAATCTTATCAATAATTGGTTGAAGTCAATTCATTCATAAAAAATGTCGCCCTGCGAAGAACTAACTGGAGTAGGATTATGTGCACATATGCACATGTACATATATAAACACATATGTATGTATGTATATGTACTTTTATATACATTTTTGTATGGCTGTATGTGTAACTTGCAGCAATAAAAAATCAACAATTAAAAATACTCAAACGGAACGAGCCCAACAGCGGTTTTGATTATATAAATGCAAAAAAAAACTGCAAAAATTCTAAATTTATAAAAAGGCAACAACAAAGCTCCATATACACATATACAAATAAATACATACATATGTATGCATGTGTGTTTTATTCGCTAACGGCTACAACAAATTGGGCAGCTTGCGTTAGTGTGTGTGCGTGATCAAGGCAGCCGGCGCAGCGGCAGCGACGCCGGCATCGGCCGTTAAAAAGGCAGCGGACCGACCCTACACGCGCATGTAAAGTTACCCGAGCGCACACACACTCGCAAGCGCAGAACCAAAAAGCCGAATGTGCCAAAAATAAAGCAAAAAAAAAAAACAACAACAACAAACGTTGGCAGCGTCAAGCGGCGGCATCGACTGCGACTGCGACGCAACTAACGCCAAGTAAAACTGGGAGCAACAACAAATTTTGCGCTTATGGGTCGTAAAGTTGACCTTCAAAAAACACACAACGAAAATTGGTCAAAAAAATTGCATGTTTTTTTTTTGTGTTTGTTGGCTATGCTGCGCCCAGTTTAAGTTTATTTTTTTTTCAAAAGCCGTCAGCGCACGACGATGACGCTATGTGCACGCCATTGTAGTTGTTGTTGTTGTTGCTGCTGTTATTGTTGCTTTTGTTTCATAAATGTGTACGGGCAGCGGCAAAATCTAACTTGCTGAGCGCATTTTACAAAGAGAGTCGAGTCGATCAGATCGCTGCTCATGGCGGGGGCGAGGACGCTGCACATGCTGCTGCTTTGTGTTTTGTTTTTTTTGTTGTTTTTTTTTCTTTATTACTTTTGCGCGGTTTTTTTTTTGCAAACACTAGCGCTCTCTTACTCTTCTTTGATTGTGTTTGCTTTGCTCTTTTTCTGCTGGCTGCGGTGCTCTTATTGCTGTTGCCTTTTGCGATTTCTATACCCTATATGCGTCAGCAGCATTGGGGGTATATTTATATATGTAACAGGCAAATGATGACATTTAGGTATATATATATGCAAATGAGCTCATCTGAATTCGATGCCGAGCTGAGTTGGTTGACAAGGAGCTGTAGTTTTTGAATAGATTGATTCAATGCGAATTGTTTTTGCTCAGATACTGCAAGTCGCACTCTTAAGGGGTATTTTGCAATCGAGGACTGAGCTGAAAGCTGAATTAAACTTATGGATATATATCTGTGTGTGTGTGTGCGACGCGATCGGTATCAAGGTTTTTGGCAATTTGGTGTGTGCTGCCGCTTCAGTCGGTTGGTAGGTCGCGTCGTCAACGCCGGCTGATGTTGTTCTGCTGCTGCCGCTGTCGCTGTCGCTGCCATTGCTTACTGCGCTGCTTGCTGCTGCTGCTGTTGCGCCTTTTTCTAGCTGTGGCTCGCTTGAAATTATTTTCTGTATTTGTATTTTTTTTTTTCGCAAATTGCCAATGCAGAGATCAACATAGTCGCGTCGTACGTGTGTGCTCCGCTCGCGTGCGCGTTTAGTTTTTGAAACGTTGACGTTGACGTCGCCGTCGTCGTCGCAGTCAACGCCAACGCAGTTGCCGCAGCACTGCGCGACACTCTTAACCTATTTTCTCGCGAACCGAACATTAGTTACAATTTTGTTGTGATGTTGCGTGGCAGATACGCGTCGGACACGGACGCTGCTTGCGCGGATTCTAAGCACGCACACTTACACTAGCCCCACACACACATACATACTACACACATACACATACTCAAACGCATAATACACAGATACACGCGCGATAATGTTGTCCAATCAGATCTTGTAACAAAATCAAAAATAATTGATGAACAATAATTGTTCTAGAATTTCGCAAAAAAAAAAAAAAAAAAAATTTATATTAATTGAATAGTGTGTAAAATAATTAAATATTGATTGCAATGTCTACCGAAATTGGGTTTAATTAATATAAATAATTATATGCAATCAATTTACAGTTTAAGAAAATGTGGTGCCTTGATAAAATCTTAAAATTGTATGCATAAAAAGTGAAAAACACAATTAAACGCCAAACATTTTATTGGATAATATACGGATAAACTATTTTTGCCGCACGTCAACTGTACCCCCAAAAAGAAAAACGCATCAAATTGGATTACAATCATTTTTGGCTCCTGCACTCGCTCTGTGAAAGGTTAGTACGGCATTAAGTATACGCCATATCAGCCGACAAATGATCAGTGGAACAGCAACGAAAGCAAGAGTGCCGCTTTAGCAAGAATAAGTACACAAGTAAATACATATATGAACTAGAAAGTATAGTATATGAATAATGACATAGAACAAGTGCTGATAACGATTCTCTTGAGAATTTCAAAAAAATACTAGGAATCTCTAAGCACTTGGGTGATATATAGGAATTTAGGTTAACTCTGTGGAGAGACTTTTAAAAGTGATTTTAAAAAGAGGAAACAATATAAAATCCACTTTTGTATTTGTTATATAACACATCAGTTAATAATAGCTTGTTGATTTTTTCTTCATTTTTTAAGCTATGGTTTTTATTTTGTGTTTATTAATAGGCACTTTGAATAAATTCGATTTTTAAGACAAATTTTGAATCGTTTTTATGCTCAGATTTATCCAAAACAAAAAATTCAAGAACATATTCAAAATGTTTGCAGATATGTTTTTATGAGTTCTCTCTCCTTACTGAGGTAATTTACTTTAATTTGTTTAAATGTTAGCTTCATATATTGAAGATCTAAAGATAAACTCGTTCATATATAGTTAATCTTCTATCTACTTAATTATTCATATTTTAATAACTTAAATATTTAAATAACTGCTGTTACATCGATAGATAAGCAATTTATAATTATTGTTTCACTTTTAATTGCAATTGGAAATTTCAAATTTAGTTTTTTGTTTGTTGCAAAAAGAACCCGTTGCTTTAAAAACTTTGCTCGAGTTCTGTTTCAGTCTGTGCAAACTAGTTATATAACTGGGTTCAAAAGTGTCCTATCCAAAGTAAACAAGTTTTTTTTTTTTTTTTGTAACTTTGAAAAGTTAACGTATCTTATCTGTGCAGGGTGTTCCCTAGATATAGCCTTAGTTTCGTAATAACCGAAATTAAACTGTGAATTGAATTAACAAATATTAAATTTATTTTTTTTTTTGTATAATATTAGATTTGCTTTAGGAATTAGATCTTGTTATTTATGTCTTGAGCACATTTGAATAATTACTAAAATTGGCTAATTTATTTATTTTTTATTATTTCCGTCTCCAAAAAGAACAAACGATGAATTCAGACGATTTATGGTAGTTGTTCTTTATTTCGTGCAGTTCATCTCAAATAAATACGAATTATAATGGCAGGCCCTATTATGCTCTCTTATATAACTGTACATTTATACATGTATACTTATTATATGTTCTAATTATGATGTAAAAGGTACCGTTACTCATATATAAACGAGTCATGCGTTAAGGTACACACATACATGGATATTTGTATTTAAATACTATATGCACAAAAACATGCGAAAATTATCTATAAATTTAAATTTTTACAATCTGTGTGCGATTATACGAACAACAACAACAACAAGTACAACAAAAAGTGCTGCCCAAAAAAGCTTTGGGCTGACGTCAAACGGTGAAGTCGACTGCGTCGCAGGCAGAGCCAATTTATTTTACACAATTAAGGGTGTGCGCGTAGCCTGCGACTGAGCGAGAGAAAGAGAGGCAGAGAGAAAAAGATAGAGAGAGACAGAGAGAGATAGAGAGGGAGAGGGAGAGGGAGAGAGAAAGATATATAGAGAGAGAGAGAGAGGGAAAAGCAGGGGCAGATATGTATGTATGAACATTTTATATACATGTAAAAATTGAGCGATCACACACACAATGATGTGAAGAAAAAACACACACACAAACACACACACACACACATTTCTATGCGCCAATTTAGATTAAAGCAATGAGCGACCACGCCCCACTGCCGGCTGCCTGGCCCACCAGCCAACTGTCAAACAAAAAAAATAATGAAGAAGAAGAAGAACCATAGAGTATATAAAATGTTGGTTAACCGCTTTTAAATTAATAATAGAAAAAGGAACTCTTCACTGCACAAAGCGAACGCATTGTTGCTGCCATTTGGCGTATTATTTATTTATTTGTATATATATATATATTTATGACAAATCTATTATTATTATTATAAGTAATTTATTTTTATTTTTAAATACCAACCATAAAATGTTGCGCCAACTGTGCAAATATTGCGCGTTCCTATTGTTGTTGTCGCTGTGTATTGAACGAGAACGAGCACAAGCGAAAATATTACCCTATCATTGCTTTACATATGTACACATATGTATACTTTGTACACAGGGCAAAAAAGTTCAAGAAAATTGGCCATCAAATTGAATGTTTTTCCTTCAGCGTCGTTTCTCCGATCAATACACCAAATATGCATTAATTATTCATTATATTGTTGCATTAACATAATATGTGTGTTGCTACCCTCGATCCATAAGATATCGATTTTAGCTAGGTTTTAGTTTTCTGTGTATCTATTGCATTGTTGGGCCCATGGCCCATACCATACAAATACATATGGGGATCACTCATTCCGATCACTGGCAAAATACCAGCAGCACAGCACACAAATTGGGGGATGTATGTCAGTCTAGCCGAACAACCCACCAAGCAGCACACCCAACCCAACCCAATCCAACCCAATCCAACCCACTCATCCACCTACCACACACCTTGTGCTGCTTACGTAGTAGATCATATGTACGCGTGCGGTTGTCTGTGTGTGTGTATGTGTGTGTGTGTATATGTATGTGTGTGTGTGTGGGTGTGTGTGTGCCCATTACGCCTCATTTCGTTTTGTTGCTGGTGTTGTTGTTGCTGCTTCGTTCCCTTAGCAGAGGCGCGAATCGTTTCTTGTTGTAGTTTCTTTAGCACATGTTTATACCCTACCAAAAGGGTATTCAAATTTGTTCATAAAATACATCAACCAAAAAATATATAAAAGTATATATTTATGTTCTAAATTAAACCATAGAATTTACAAATTTCAGCTTAAACCCTTTTTTTTTAATATAAATCTATCAAACTAAAATTTTTTCTTGGCAATTCTGGGTTTGGTAGGGTATTTTATCTTCGGCAACGCTCAGTTAACTAACTCTACCTGCATGTTTTGTTTTTGCTACTCGCACAGCTTAAAAATAAATTTGTTGGCAAAATGTTGAAAACAGAAAAAAATTGAAAAAAAAATAAACATTGAGCAAAAAAAAAAATGAAAAGTTTAATATTATTTTCATACGTAGCCTTTGGCTTGACGGTTGTTCCTGTTGCCTGCTTTGTTGGCCCACCGCTTGCCAACTCGCGACATGCCACTACACTACAGCGAAAAGTATTTGCAAACAAAAACATAAATTCATCGCGTATACGAATATATATTTAGACGCTTGAGTTGTCCGAACGCATATTTATAAATGCCTGCTACCAAAAAATTCGACTATTAATACATCGCACCATGTGCGGCATTCAAGTTTAAGTAACAATCATAATATTCAAAACACGATGATTATTGTTCAACTTTATTAAGTATTATTGCCCTTTGTATTCCAAATTGGAATCTCCACTACAGTAAATCAAAAAAAAATAAATAAAATAATAAAACATGATAAGCTTATCGGTCACAAGTTTGAAACGTCAATTCATGCCGACGGCTCCTTCCTTCTTGGTAACTATCTAAGCGTCTAAGCTTGCGCTTGATTGACAATCCAGATAACTATAGGCAGTATATGTTGATGTTATTCTTTAACTGTGCAACCACTTTTAACCTATATGTAAATCAAATAAAAGTTTGTATAAATTGAAAAAATACATTTGTTTTTGAACTTCTTTGTCAATGTATTAAATTCACAAGAGAAAAGAATTCGCATCTTTGTTTTAAACTCTGAGGATATGAAAGCACTCAAACCGACAAACACTCTCACATTCGTCCAGGAATTGGGGTTGAATAAAGAGATATAGATGCAGAATAGTCACAATAACAAATCTCAGTGCAACGATCATAATAATATCATAGTTAAATTAGTTTTTCTGTGTCGACTGTTGGCAAACATTAAAAATAAAAATGAAAAATAAATTGAAAACAAATCTTGACAAGCGAAAAAGATATTTATATAGGAATATTAAATGAAAGCGTTAAGTCAACTTGTGTGACACTCTGCAATTTAGATAAAGTACAACTCAATGCTTAATCATGCTCAGCGCAGTTAACTGATTCACTTAACTGAATTCTCAACGCTGACTTACACTTACCTTAGGCGTTTCCTGCCTGTCGCACACATAATTACGATCGCTGATTCTCGTCATTCGTTTGCATGAATTAGGGCCACATGTTGGCGATCCACGCTGCCGCAACAACAATAACAACAACAACAACTCCAACAACAGCAACAACAAAGCGCACTCAGTGCCGCTGCCGCTGCTGCTGCTGCTGCTGCTGCCCACGCAATGCGCACGCAAAAATTTACGCGATTTGTCAGCTCGTTTTTGTCTGCTCTTTTTTGCCTTCAATTTGTTGTTGTTGTTGTTGTGGCATATTGTGTGCTTACATATTGCTTGTTGGTTCTTTCAAATGCTTGAGGTTGCTTTCGGCAGGGTTTAAGTGGGCCTACACACATACACACATACATACACACATACATGCAGAGTATTTGTTTTTCTTGTTGTGTACTTAGTGCTATCGAAGCTGTCGTTGTTGTTGCCGTTGTATTTTGCTTGTAGACAATTTCTAAGTGTGTTCAAATTTAGGTCAGCTCTTCTACGCACTGACGCTGCCTGCCTGCCTGGCTGCCTGCCTGTCAGTCCGGCCACAAAGTGTCATTGTAATTGCAAATATCGCAGCCGCAGCGACACTCACTCACTCACTCAGTTAAAATGCGAAAATCACTCATACGCCAGCGTGTACGCGGCCCACGCTCAAAAGGAGAAAAACCAAACGCAAAATTGTCATCATTTTCATTTCAGTTGTTGCTTGTAACACGCTAGCCAAATGAAAATTAGCGCATTTAATTGCCCAAAATGTGATGTCTGCCAACCCGACGTAATGCAACTCACACAACGTGCAACAACAGCAACAGCAACATCAACAGCAACAGCAACGAC